GTGTGTGTGTGTGTGTGTGTGTGTGTGTGTGTGTGTGTGTGTGTGTGTGTGTGTGTGTGTGTGTGTGTAAAAAATATTCTTTATTCTGCTAAACATGTAGTACAACTTTTTTTGCCATTTCATTTGCAAAGGCTCTTAGCTAAGGCTGTACAGCAGACTCATTCATCTCTCTAAGAAGTAGTCTCAGTGCCACTAGATGGGACAGAATACCACACCCAGAAGGTGTGTGGGTTACACTAATATTCAGGAAACATTTGACTCCCCAGAACAAATAGCCTATTTGCCAATCCCTACCGTTGGAGTTCTCTTCCTTCTTGGCAGCAGCTGTCCCTTATTCCTACAGAAGAGATAGGGAGGCTGGCACACCGTGCCACGGGGCACCTTTTTCCCTGACTCCGGCTTATTATGGCCCTCAGACCATAAAGGAGGCCTTTGCTGGGCCAGCTGGGCTCCTCCTTCCTGCAGTGAGGCACTGGTGAACAGAATATTTGAGTATTAGTCCGTTGTATTTAGCCTGAATTTGGCTCGGCTCAGGTCTGTGTGGTTTATCCATTCATGCCATATACAGATAACAGGATAGTCATGGTGTAGATTTAGAGGACACGTCTGCATGAGTAGTAGCTGACCGTGGACCTCACCTACAGGCATGGCTATAGATGTCAAGAGGCCCACTTTATTTTCAGTAATCATCCCCAAAAGTGTGCCAACCCCCTGTGGGAATGAGTGTAATGTAGGTAGAGCATTATATTGAGCCAATGTTTAACTCTTTGGGTTTAAGTACTGCTTGGCCGGAAAGGGGCTTCATTGTGACATAGTAGTCCACAGTGGATATTTGTTTGCATCATAAAATCACCCAACAGTATGGCGCATCTGATGGTCTGGTCAAAAGGGTTTCAGGACTGAAAGAGAACAGGTTGCGATGGTAAATGTGCTGGTTAGGAAATCTATAATTGCCTATGTAAGGATTTATACTAAGCTCATCACCACTATATTGGAACACATTACAAGGATTATTGAAACCCTAGTAGGCCAATTATGTAGTTATTGTTTGGCAGCCCTGGATATATGGATAATTGAAATCTAACTACCGTACTTACGGACTGCCACACAAGCTAGTAACCTTAGATGCATTGAATTGACAAGTATGCCTGATCAGAAGCTGAAAATGAAGTCTTTCCCTTCCCTTTTCTGTACATGACATCAGACAGCTGAGGAGGGGGGTGATATGCCAGACTGGACTACTGATTTGCTTAAATTCCACTTTTGGCTACATTCACCCATGTGCACTTTGGGAAGAGAACACACAACAAGTTACGGCTGGCTACAGTATGGGGAATGGGAAGAAAAAGGACAGCCTTTCTTCCTTCTGGAACTACTTGCTTGGAGATTCAGGTTCTCCTTTGGACATGTCAGCTTACAAAAAAGAACTCTTACCTTACAGAGTAGGGTGCAAAAGAGTTGTCCATTCCCTGCCCAAATTATACCTGGTCCTGAACCTTTAAATACAAAAGCAAAGGGATTGCTTCTTGCTAGAGTGTAACTGTAACAAGCAAGTTAAATTAAATCATACAGTAGCTGCTTTTCTTAAAATGTTTAATACCCTTGGTTTGCTGTCATTGGCCTGCTAACGGCCTACACTACTTCTAAGCCAACAAGTGTTCCGAAGTACCTTGTGGTGCTGTTAGTGGCTATCCTGATGTTTATCCGTTGATTTGGGGTTGCAATGAAAACACTCCTTTGATGCGAGCTTGGCTCACTGGTCCAGCAACAGAAGTGCTAGCATAAGCAGATTGAGAACCTAGTATTTTTTTTATAATGAACTTGCCTAAATGCAGTTGTTTTGCGGCTCATCCAACCCTACCCCACCCTCTGAAATCTAGTAACTTTTTGCTCCCTCGTGTCTTAATTTTTTTTTGTCACGTTCCATTTCACTATATGTTGTTATCATCAGCATATTTATCATGAACCATATTTAATACCTGTGAGACTGTGGATCAACTCAGCAATATAAGAGAGAACATTACAAGTTCTTACTGGCTGGAAATTAAAAAGATGCAGCAGCCAATATCAAAATTGCCACTTTAGGGCAGCAGCTGCTTGGTGCTTCCAAATTTAAAATCACAGACTTAGAATTAGTTGCTTGGAAAAATAAAATGGAAACCATGCAGGCGCAGAGAATTAGCAGAGACCATGAAGTTCCAGTGTTATGTATATCACAATACCCATATTTTGAAAACTATTGATGCTATTATGGAGTCATGGTCATGGTTCCGTGGTTAAAGATGGAACCAGCTGTCTATTATTAGGTCTATTTTTAATCCCCCCCCCTCTCCAGCTGTGTCTAAAGAACAAACTCCATTTGGCATGAAAATGTTCATGTGAAATCTCAAGCCGGAGGAGACATTTCTGATCTGGGTAAAACCTGAAGCAATCGGTCAAGGTTGTTTTTTGGATTACAGAGAAGGGGAAATTTAACATGGGGCTGTGGGGCGGGGGAATTGTATATAAATGATTTCAGAACACAACAACACATGACTGCCTTTAAAAGTTCCTAGTATTTACAGGAGGACTCATTTACATTAGACATTGACCAAATTGGTATTTAAAATAAAAAATTCGGGACCAATGGACACATGGATGTCCCAAGTCCTCACTCAGCCCTTCTGGAAAGCCTTGAGGCTGCTGTTTGTTTTTTTAATTCCCCCCCCCCCCTTCCCTAAAGCTCCTGCGACCTATAGTTAAGCTGCATTGTCTCCTTTTGAATAGCAGCTCCTGTCCCAAAGGATCAAGCATTTCAGTCAGAACAGAAGCAATAAATGTGTAAGGAGTAGAATAAATCCTTAACCTACCTTCTCCCTCTATTAATCCTGGAGATGCTTCGACTTTCCAATGTCTAACACTGGCTCAGAGCCAAACCTAAATGGAAAATGAATGACAGGTTGCCACTTCTTGAGTCTGTTCTTCTGTGGCTAAGATCTAGCTTTCTTCCTCCAATTGAGAAAGCTACTGGAGCAGGGATTTAAACTTTCACTCATCAAGCAAAATGCTGGTGTGTGAAAGTTTAAATCCCTACTTCTTAGCAATTTCAGAAAAATGCTGAAGTGGTAAGTAATGTACTTCCCCCCCCCCCCCTTTGCTGAGCATCAGAATGGCAGTGCAAATGCTGAATCTTATCCTGACCCCGTGCAAGGCTACCTTTGTTAGTCTCTAAGGTGCCACAAGTACTCCTGTTCTTTTTATAAAGGAAAAACTAATTTTTGTGAGTTTCTAATGAAGATCCCAGTGCTGAAAAGTGAGTTAATATGTTTGATTTGCTTTCTCTTGAGCTATTCATTGCACCTTCTTGTGGTGACTTTGGAAAGAAATTAATCAAACACACATTGCAAATTGTCAAGTGAAAACGTTTATCTCGCTGCAATGTCTTCTAAGCATTTACAACAAGGAATCAAAATGATTAGAGCAATCTATGAAGTATCATTTCAACGTCTAAGCTACTTTCTCCCTGTTGTTGTAATTTGAACCAATAATGTGGTTCCTCAGTTAGGCATTTGGTACGTAGATGTGTGGTCTTTGTCTTGTGTGTTCCTGGATTTTTCTAGTGCTGTTGAAATTCCAAGATGCTGCAGTCTGTTCAAGATTGTAGATTGTCAACTGTCCTTGGAAGGAAATCATCCTTCAGGTCTATGCTTTGGTAACTTGCGTTCTGTAAGCTTGGTCGCTGTCCTTTTGGAAACCTCTCTCCAGGTGTGTGTGTGTGTGTGTGTGTGTGTGTGTGTGTGACGCTTTGTCGTGCTTGCAGTGTCCCACAGCACATAGGACCTGAGAAGGGCTGAGCAGTCACCACTCTGATTGAAGCCAATAGCAGCTGGGAGTGCTCAACCCCTCTGGAAATCAGGCCCATACTCTTAGACAGTCGGACTCCCTGTGCGTTCTCTCAGTTTTGCAGCCCCAACCACTTGATTCTACTTGTTGATATCTTAGCCTGAGTCTGTGCTAGGTTTCTGGGGCATTTTTTTCTCCACTTCTGCTAATCTCAGTGATGCTCCATCAGTGGCTCCTGCAGCATTTTTACTAGGGATGTAAATAACGTGTAAAAACAATAACCATGTAACCAATTAAAATTCTATTGGTTACACAGTTAAACTTTTAACCAGGGAACTAGGGGTACGAAGGGTGCTGCACCATGCCCATATTTTAGGAGGGGCTCCGCTGCCGCCCTCGCGCCCGGGAATCCCCCGCTGCCAGCCCCGCACGTCGGGGTCCCCTCTGCCGACCTAGTGCCCGGGGATTTTGGCTGCCGACCCTGCACCACGGATCCTAGCTGCTGCCCCACCCTTAGAGCTCTGTGCAGGGTGGCAGCAGAGTCCCGGGTGCGTGGCGGCAGCCGGGACCTCGTGCATGCTGGGACCCCGGGGGCAGGGCTGACAACTGGTACCCTGGGAGCCGGGCTGGCAACTGGGACCCCGGGCGGAGTTTAATCGTTAACAGAAACTGATAAACATCAAGCTTATTGGTTAACCGGTTAAACTTTTACATCCCAAATTTTTACCATGATATAATTTACCTCTTCTCAGAGCATGTTGTGCAAAGATTAGGCACTGCCCCTTGTGGACTGAAGCTATCAAGAGTGCAGTGAAAATGGAAGGGATGAGTTGGACCAATGTCTACATGAAACTTTTTACAGATTTTCAGTTACCCAGTAAGTGGAAGGCTTATTTTTTTTATATCTGTTTATTTGTTAATAACATGGCTCTCTTCTGTTTCGCCTTATTGTCTAATTGGCTTTTCTCCTTTTGGCAAAGGAAGTCTGCTCTCTCCTGCCATGAGTAAAGCTTTTTACAGACAATCAGAAGGGAAAATGCAAAGCAAATGTCGCCAGATCCTTCCAAAAGGAAAATGGCCCTCAGAACGCTGAGATGTTTGCAGCAACCCCAAGGAAACAATAAAACAAATGCCAAGCTGTATTTATGGGAACTGAACTATCCCTTAGGAGTCCATGGGAAGCAGGATTGTGAGATATGAGCTGGCCAGTTGTGCCAGTGAAAGCAGTGAAATGAACCTAATGGGCTTGCTAATGACCTCCAATGGGATAGGTGCAGTGTCACTCCCATGGGAGCGCCATGTGGACTCATGCCTGGGGAAGCACACTCCCTTCCTGGAGCACTGGATAGCACAAGGAGAGCACAGCTGGTGTCAGGTGTACACGGAATAGGAGACGTGACCCTGTCAATTAAACTAATGCTGACAGTGGCACCAGTCCAGTGGAGCCATTGTAGCTGGCACCTCTATGTGTAGCCCAAGGCAAGGAAAGGCTGTAACCCTTTCACACCTGCTCAGGGACCACATGCAGGCAAGGGACCTGATGGTGCGAGTGTTCACCACCACATGGTACACACTGCTGGGAGTTTCAAGGGACAGAATATTCTCAATCTTGATTCTTCAGTAGCCCTCCCCGGAGTTAAGTGTTAGCCTAAGTGTGAGTTCCTTTTTGCATACATGCAAAGAACACATAATAGAATATTCTATAACCATCTTTCCCACAGGCCTGCTCTAGGACTGTCTATTTAAACATCTCCTTTACCTTGACAATGCTTTGAAGATATTTGATTTATTATGAGTAGATTGCCTGACAATAACCATTTCTGTCTATCAACGCAGATCTATATTTGTCTCCTTTCTGGGACATAACAAAGTATTGCGTTAATCCATTATTTGGAATAGTTGACACAGCAGTCACTGTTTCAGATAGTGAAGCTCCTTTCAGAGGTTGTTTGCTTTATCTACAAACCATAACTCTTTAGAAATAGCAAAAATATTAACAAAAATAGGTGGAGAAAGCAACAAGGTCTCCCTGTCAGTGCATGTGCGAGGATTGGATCCCTGCAGAATCTGCCATGCCACCGTAAGAAATCAGCAATTGCTTTTCCTTTTCAAGTGCTTGTGCAGATTCCCTTTGTTTTCTACACCCATTTCAAGTGCAGATTTCTATGCACACACTTTAGATTCATAGTGAACGTGAAAACAATTGCACCAAGCTGCAGTTTCCTCCTGGATCAGAGATGGGTGAAAGCAGTGTCCTGGCTTGTTACTTTTTGTGCCATCTTTGGTGCCGTTCCCATGAAAAAGATAGCTTTGACCAATCCTGCTTGTACCACCCACCAAAATTTAATTTTTTTGTTATCACCCACCATGCAAATAAATCAAGAGCTTGTTTTGAATGCAAACATGAAAAAGGCAGAGACTAGTAAATTGTTGTTTTAGTGTGGACTGTGTGTGTTGTGCTGGATAATGCAAAAACTGCACAGTCCTTGCACAAAGGAGAAATACTATAGTGCTCTTAGAAATCATCATTTTCCATCAGTCTGAAACACTTTGTCGTGGTTGATTTTAACTGAACCAAATTGACAGGCATCAACTCTGAACAGGGATGCTAGGGTGGATCGGAATTTCCTCTTTGCTTGAAGAGAACTGGCGCATTGGTCACGTTAATCTGGCCGACAAACAGACAGAAAACAGAGCAAAAGGATCAAAGGTTTCCTCCAAATCTTGGAGTGATCCCTGCTCTCCTGCCTCTGGTGGAGGAACCTCACCGAGTGCGATGCTCTACAGATATGAAGCGTAAATGTAGCACTAACTGTGTATTGCACCCACAAAACCCCCTATGTGATAGAGACAGCACAGAGCCTGGCCCTGTACTGCTTGAATTGGGGGTGGGAGGTGGAGACTGGGAGGCTGGCTGCTATATTATTTGTAGGGCCTACCTCTCTTCTGTCATATGGCTCCCTTACATGTTTCTGCTGTTTAAACTGAAGCATTCCACTTGATATTCAAGGCCCTCCCCCATACTCCCCTCCCCCAATAATTTAGACACAGTAACCTCCACTGCCTATGCACAGGCTCTCTCTTGACTGAGTGACACCCCTGCTTCCCCCCAAAACTCCCCATGGAGTGGAATGGCACTCCTCAAGAGAACGAGCAGGATTTGCCCTTATGTTGAGCCTTTTCCTTGCTACAAAGAAGAGTAATAAGGATGTGCCTCTTGCTAAGGCCTGTAGGGAATTTAATCCTGCATTTTAAAACCATTTAGCAATGAGGGTTTCCTCTGAAAGTTGGCACCTGGCAGCAGGCAGCACCCCCTCCCCCAGTGCTACTGCACTTGAACCTGGGACCTTCTGGCCCAGTGCCGAGAATGCTGAGTCACACTGGCATATTTATGACCAGTGATAAGTAGGCCGCAAAGTCGGTGTTCAGATCAGCTCTGGGTTCTTCTCTGGAGCACTTAAGGTCTTTACCTTCCCTCCTCTGTGCCTCTGGTGTTG